ATACTCCCTTTACTGCATGTTTGTTATAGACATTACACAACAAGCAGAATGGTTGTCTCTTGAGGAACTGTTTGAGTGAGGAATGGGGAGCAGAAGAACTGTTCAGAATGCTCTGGTCTCCTTGAACAAGAGAGGGTTCTCAGAGAATACAAGTGACTAATTCATTTACAGCCCTAAATTCCTGCCAACTCGCCATCTCAAGGCCTGTTGATCCAGAACATAGAACAAATCACTTACTGTTCCGTATTTAAGTAGTGTAGGCACTCCTGTTAGTTTCAGATTCTTCCTGAATTCATTGTTGGGATCCTTCCAGCTGTTCAGAAAGAAGGTGTTAAGCACAGCTTATAGGGGGGCATTCTGAAGTTAAAATAGCTTCAAAATGATTCAAAGGCCTTTGCCTCACACCTTCCCAACTCCCTTCTCAAAACAAGCATGCAGATCATTTATGTCAGAGATGGTGAAGGCCTCAAAAAATTATTGGCTCCTTACAGAAAAGGACAGCTCAGTCAGTTTTTCCAACAAGGTAACCACCAGTCCACCAACAGTCATCCCATTTTTCAGCATTCAAAGGTACTTACTAGGGTCTATCTCCAACTAGACAGTAGATGAAAACTGACTCATCAGGTAAGTTATGAAGTTCCTTCCTCACAATTGGTTCAGCTAGAAAATAATTTTTAAAATCTGTTAGTACTTAATATTTGTGCTACAGAATCACACGTATTTACTTGGACCAGCAAGACTGCTTATTAATGTTTTGTCTGCTTTAGTTAGAGATCTCTAATTCATTTCACCTGTCAATCCACAAGTTTTTCAGAGTTCATTATGTACTCGAACACTGACTGGACTTGTGTTTGAGTAAAGAGCAATTTCTTCTCTAACACGAAGAGAACCACTCATTCTGTCCTGGTCGTGGGTGTGACAGCTCAGCACGGCGCCCTACTGCAGGGCGACGTTCCATAGCGCACCTTCACACCTGCTCAGACACATAAAGCCCAGGTAGTTCAGTGCGGTGATTCTGAGAACCGCCTTCACCTGCTGCCGCCAGACACTGTCGGGGAGGGCACCGCTGCGCCTGGACACGTTCAGCATAGGTGAAACTGACCGCAGGTCTCTCTGTTTGCTGGCCGTGCGCCAGCCTGCACCAGAAACCTGTGCCGCTCCACGTGGGCAACGAAAAGGGCAGCGCGGCAGCCCGCTCGCGGAACTGTGCCTGGAGCCCGGCACCGGCACTGGGGCTGCTGTGCTCGCCCGGCATTTTCCGGGAAGGCACCGGGAGCCTCTCCGGCTTCCCCAGGACTGACACGGCACCTTGCCGCAGGCAGGGCGCTCCCCCCACGGGCCTCACCCGTCACGCAGTCGGGACACCAACTCCTGCCCTCGGCGTCCTTATCGCCGCAGAAGAGCACGAAGATAGGCCGGCCATGGTAACTCTGCGCCGTCCGCACGAACTCGGGAT